GCTTAATTACAATAATTTGAATTATTTTGATGGGTTGATTTTAAAATCAGGGGTGCCTGGGTGACTCACTCGGTTAAGTGGTTGCCTTAGGCTCAGGTCATGATCCCAGGGGTCCCGCGATTGAGTCCAGCATTGGGCTCCTTTCTCAGCGGGGAGTCTGCTTCTCTCTCTGCCTGCTCTGCCCTGCACTCCCCCTGCTTGTACTCTCTCTCTCTCTGATAAATAAATTTTTAAAAATCTTAAAAAAAAAAAAAGATTTTAAAATCAATTCCAGGTACAATGGAGTTAAAAGAAAAATTCTTCTTTTTAAATATTTTAAATTACTGCAGATCACAGGAAAAGTTCAAAAATATTTAATATCAATATTAAAATATTAACTGATGAGTATGATACAAAATGGAAAAAAAAAGGATCATATCATTTCATTCATCAACATGGATCTAAACATTTAAGTAATGATTTTGCATATTAATTTCATAGTATAAAATGATAACAATTCACCTGACCAATTGGGCTTTGTTATAAAGATAGAAGTTGGCTGGAAATAGGAAATTTCATTTACATAATTTTTATATCAATACATTAAAAGAGGAAAAAATATGTTTATATGAAAGAGGCTGGAACTGCATGATGACATTTCAAATAATAATTTCAAATAAAACTTAGGATAATAATTTCAAATAAAACTTAGGGTAATAATTTCAAATAAAAACTTAGGATAAAAAATATTACCTACAAATGATAGAGTTTCCTTACCAAAATTCTAGGAAAAAATATCTTATTCTATGATGAAATATTGAAGATGCTGCCATTGTAGATAAAAAGGACAAGTGTGTCATTACCGCCATTATTATTCAATGTTGTTTTTGACATTTAACATAAGGGAATAATTCACTAAAATGAAATAAATGCTTTTTAACAAATGGTGCTGGAGCAATTGGGCATCCAGTAGAAGAAAATTTAAATGAAATATGAATCTCAAACAGTCCTCAAATCATATACAATAAATAACTCAAAATGCATCAGAGACTTATATGTAAAATATACAATTATGACCCTGTTAGAAACAAAATAGGAAAAAATCTTCAGGGCCACGGAATAGGTGAAGCGTTCTTGATCTTGACAGCAAAAGCATGATTTATTAAAGGAAAAATTGATAAACTGGACCACAATGATTTTGAAAACTTTTTCTCTAGAAAAGTCCCTTTTAAGAGGATGAAAAGACAAGATAGAGACTTGGAAGAAATATTTGAAATTGAAATATCTGACAAATGATTTGTATCTAGAATAACTTTCCAACTCAAAAGTTAAACCAACAAACACGCAAACAAAAGCAATCCAATTAGAAATAGATAAATGGCATGAACAGACATTTCACTGAAGGAAATATACTGTTTACAAATAGATTAAAAGATGTTTATTAGCTGTTAGGGAAATGCAAATTATAACCACAATGGGATATCATTACATTGATATCAGAATAGCTAAATTAAAAAAAAAAAACACAAAAATTGGGGCAAGAATGCAGAGAAACTAGATCATTTATATATTGCTGTTGAAATTGCAAAATGATACAGCTACTCCAAAAAAACCTATGACATTTACTTGCAAAGCTAAACATATGCTTACCATGTGACTCAGCAATTGCACACTTTGGCATTTATCCCAAAGAGAGGACAATTTATGTTCATACAAAGCCTGTTAAAAAAAATGCTCGTAGAATCTTTAGTCATAATAACTCAAAACTACAAAGGACAACCTAGATGTATTTCAACGAATAAAAGGTTCAACAAACCGTGGTATATTCATGCCCTGGAATATTACTCAGCAATCAAAAGGAACAGAGTATTGATAGACTCAACAACTTAGATGGATCTTGAGGGAATGTGCTGAGTGAAAAAAAAGTCCATTTCCAAAGGTTTCATGTTGTATTATCCTTTTTACACAGTATTCTTGAAATAACAAAATTATAGAGATCGAAAATAGATTAGTGTTTCCCAATGGCTGCAGAGGGAGGCTATGGTAATAAAAGTGCTGTTCTATGCTGGTGATAGAGCTATTCTGTATCTTGACTGGTGCTCATCATATATATAAAATTGCATAGAACCAAACATACCCACACACACATACACAAATGAATACATGTAAAATTGAAATCTGAATGACTTTGAGTGTATAAATATCAGTTTCTTTTTGTGATATGTATTATGGAAGATATTGCATGTATTTGAGAGAAACTAGATGAAGTATATAAAGGATTTTCTTTCTGTATTATTTCTTACAACTGCATGTGAATCTGCAAATACCTTAAAATCATATATATCTATAATATATAATATTGAAATAAGAATGAGAGCTGTTCTGTTCATGGTAATAATAAACTATATGTAATTAGGACTAAATCTAATAAGAAAAGTAAAGGGTCTATATGAAAAATAGAAGATGCTATATTATAAATGTACATATAATGTGAATGGTATAAGTAGTTCTGAGTGAAAAGTTTTAATATTATAAAATGGTTCAAGTTTTCCAATTTACTGTGCATATTTATTGCAGTTTTAATAAGATTATCCATTTGGTATGTTGAAATACGAATTTAAAGATCATATAAAGGAAAATATGCTTGAGAATTATTGATAATATAATTGAAATATTATTTGAAAATAGATTATTTGGTATGGTGCACTTGCCTTGTAAGGTATTTCTTATATTAACATCTGTATCTGTATCTGCATTGTAAAAGATGTAATAAAGTATGTGTAAACATCTGTATCATTAAAGATACAGTAGACAAAATATGTAGAATTTACCTAGGTACAAAAAAGAAATCTTTGTAAGAAAAATACACACACACACACATCTAGGTTTATTTTTCTTTTTTTAAGATTTTTAAGATTTTATTTATTTGAGAGAGCGAGCTGGGGAGGAGCAGAGGAAGAGAAAGAGGGAGAAGCTCAGGCAAACTCTGTGCTAAGCTTGAAGCCCAATGCAGGGCTCAGTCTCACAATCCTGAGATTATGACCTGAGCCAAAATCAAGAGTTGGATGCTTACCTGACTGAGCCACCCAGGTGCCCTGGTTTAGACAAATGTATAATGACTTGTATCCACCGTTATAGATCATACAGCGTAGTTTTACTGCTCTAGAAATCCTCTGTGCTCCACCTGTTTTTCCTTCCTCACCCTGTCCCACAACCGCTGGCAAAACACTGATATTTTTAGTTTCTCCATAGTTTGCCTTTTTCAGAGTATTACATAGTTGGAATCATATAGTGTATAGTCTTTTCAAATTGTCTTCTTTTATCTAGTTATAAGCATTTGAGTTTCCTTCATATGTTTTCATAGTTGATGGCTCATTTTTTATCACTACATAATATTCTGTCATCTAGATATATCACAGTTTGTTTATTGATTCACCTCCTAAGGGACATCTTGGTTCCTTCCAAGTTTTGGCAATTATGAATAAAGCTGCTATAAAAGTTCATACCCAGAGTTTTGTGTGGACATAGGTTTTCAACTCATTTGGGTAAATACCACAAAGCACAAATGCTGGAGTGTATATTTAGTTTTGTGAGAAACCACTTAACTGTCTTCCAAAGTGGCTTTAACACTTTGCATTCCCTCCAGCAATGGATGAGAGTTGGTCATTTTATTTATAACTGAGGCCTTCTATGATGCCTTTTGCAAGATATTCCTTTCCTTTCTTTGTACTTCTACACTACTCTGTATCCTCATTCTGACATTTAGCATAATTTTTCTTGCTTTGCAAGTGTGAATCCCTCAGGACAGATCCTAGATATGTCTCCAGTAACTTATAATACTTCATTTAAAGTTTTGGAAAATTAAAGGTCCAGTATTTGCTGAATGAATAAAGAAAGTTCCAATTTTGATGTGTCAGACTATCAAATGGACCGTTTTGTTTTGAAAATCCATATATGATCACAATGTCCTATGCTAGCCTTGGGATCGTACAATTCTCACTATCACCATTAGTAATATTTTATTCAGTTGTTTCTTAGCAATTATTTTGTTGGTTAAATATGGGTTGATTCATGTGAGAGGAAATTGCATTTGAAGTTATTGATTCTTTACCCCAGCTTTTCAGCTGGAAGAAACAAAGCTCTCACTGCAATAAGTGCTGAACCTTTAAAAAACAATATCTAATGAGGTTAGTATATATCTTTGACATTTTATTTTCAACCAGAGTGAAGGTCACAGCTGAAAGGTAACAAAAATGATTTTATTCAGTAAATAAAAAATGCTACTGAAAAGAAATGAAATATTGCTAACTTTCTATAGCCTCTTGTATCAAAAACATGTTTGTTATGCCTGGTTTTGGTAATTCAACCGTATTATCCTTCCATTTCTTAGATTCTTGAACTAAAAAGAGGAGTGTAACTAGTTTTTATGTCAGAGACTTATATAAATGTGTGCTCTTCATTAATATACTGGAATTGTTTGAATTTTTATATTTAACTTCTAAATCTAGTATTTGGTGGTAATTATTTGGTGGAACTTGTTATTCATTCTGTGTATTTGGTGAACTTCCTTCTGAGTTAGAAAGTTTTCTTTATCATTTATATCAGGACCCTCAACTCTCTCATCTTTGGTGTTTACAACAAAAACATAAATTTAGCATTAGGAGAATATGTCAAAGTCATTTTGGAAAGTAATGGGCTAGATTATGGTTAAACCCTGAAAAATGTGTGGGCACAATGCAGAACAGGAACTCTTAACTATTTTTATGTTACATATCACTACATAACAAGGATTGATCTATTAAATTTGTGCTAGATGGAGACAATTATAATACTTAAAATAATATATTAAAAAGTTTCATGAAACAAAAAGCTTCAAATGCCAAAGACCATACAAAGATAACTACTTTATATTGTCCTCTAGTTCACATATCTTTGTAACAAAATACTCCAAATTTTATAATTCATTAGTTTTCAAAACTAACTTGAGGTAAGTGTCTAATCTAAGATTTATTTTATTTTAGATGAACTCACAAATTCATCAGAAACTAGATTGTCTTTAGAAGACCTCTTCAGGAGAGACTTTGTGCTTCATGACCCAGAAGCTCGGTGGATCAATGGTATGTGCACGCATTTGTATGTGCTATATTTATTTTGAGTTCCATGTCATTAAAATTAAAGTAAATAATGGTATTTTAGTATTTTAATGGACATTATGCTTCAATGACTACATATACCAGTATACTACTTAGTCAGAAATTAATAACTTGGCTTTTATGCAAGAAATCCAATTCCTAAGATAGGTCATCAATCAAATTATTCTCCAAGTATTAGACTGACTGTTCTATCTCTGCTGTTCTTCACAATCACTAGTTCTGTGGCTTTAAGCATGTGTTAAATCTTTTTCACTTCTCTGGATAATTCTTGTTGGTGTAGGAGTCTAGATTTGGGGAGCATTTATAGGTAAGTGCTTCAAATTTGGCAATCACATTAGTTTTCTTTTCTCTCTTTGTGGCTTTTCTTTTTAAGCTTAAGTGCTACAGACTAGGAAGAATCTTTGCAAAGTTGAAATACTTGGGTATGGCATGGAAATATACTGCACTTTGTCCTCTTCCAGAAAAAACACTGCCTCAGTTTCCCTTAGGTTATTTCCGATTTTATTATTATCAAAAGCTTTTAAAAAGCATCTAGATTAAAAAAGAAACAACCAAAAAATAAAAACCACTGAATGCTCCATGGACTTTAGTTTGTCTTAATGAAAGGTAATAGGAGAAGTTACTGGATAATCTAATCATAAGAAATGTAAACTTCCTTGTTAAAAAGGAAGTCATGTTTCCATTCCTTGACTATTCCAATTTGCCTGACCATACTAATCACTGTTGTTAGATAGTTATTAATCTTTATCCTTCACTTTATTTAGACATAATAACTTTGTTTGCAAGGCATAGAGTAGATTATTTGTATGACAGATAAAAAGAGCTTTGCCTTTTTATCTAATAAAGACCATCTCACATACAGTCCATTCTTTCTTCTCTAATATCCTAATTAAGTGCATTTATGCCTGCAAATTAAATGATAATTTGTGGAAGCTATAAAAAGAATGTAACTTAGTTTGTGAGAGCAGAGGCCAAATCATAGTTGTTTACCTAGCACTGATACAGTTCCTGGAGATCAGGCACTCAAGATTTGAATAAATGAATGAATGTATTTAATTGAAGTCCAATGTTATTTTTAGATAAACTCAAGTTTCAGTTAAAATTGGTTGGAAGATGAGTGTATATCATGGTGATGATATTATAGATACAGAAAACAAGATAGCATTTTATTAATTTCTTTGTAAATTTTTATTTTGAATTGTTCATAAATTTAGGACTTGCCATACTCTTGCCTTGCACTGTAATTACTTTAGATGTACCCTATGTTTAGTTCAGATGAGCACTATGACTAAGGAAGGCTAATAAAGAGGTATATCAATACCAACATTGCATGGATCTCTCACAAATCTTTCCCCTGCTTTTAATTTTAAAATCATCTTTGTATTTGCTAGCATTCCTATTTTCTATTAAAAGAGGTGACATAAAAATTGTGGGGAAAAAATCGGGAGTCATTACATTTGAACTGCTCAGGAGCATTCTGTTTTATTTACCATGATTTTGTCCAAACTATAGAAATTTGTGTAGTCTTTGACTTTGGAAAGCAAAAAAAAAAACGGGTTTCATCTCCCTTCTCAGGCGAGCTTTGGGCTATTTAATGAGGCATTTACTCCTCTGTATGACTGATAGTTTGATACTGAAGTACCAAAAGCCTGGACAGATACTTAATGGTGAACTGCTTGCTAAATTAAACCACATTTCAATATCTAGGACACACATTCCACTTTAACCCTTTACAGGATACCAAAGTAATATATTTACAATTAATCCTTTCCATCACTTTTTTCATCATTTCCTTTCCAATCATTGATAAACCTGATCTTGAGAAAATATCCTCAGACAAAGCTGCAGTGTTATTATTACACTCTAAGTAAAACCTAAGATCTAAGATATTTATAAAATAATTTGACATAAAAATAATCTTTTAAACAAGGTTAAACACAATTTAATCTTTCAGACATATGCAGTCTTTACAAATACCACTGAAGAAATTGACTCACCGTCAGTAGATTTTGTGCACTGGGTTGCTTTTCAAGTAGAGGAGTAGATTTGTGCTCATTCATTTCTCTTATCTAACTCAGATCTCCTTTCTGGCGATCACTAGATACTTGGCCTATTTACATATTCCTCACATAGCCAGAAAATACAGTGGGAACTATATGGATAAAATGTGTAACCTTGGCCTCATTATCACAGATTATATCTAAGGGTGAAATGTCATCTTTTTCTTTATGAGATGTCTCAGTAGGTCATCTTAGTATATAAGTGGCTTGAAGGAGTCAAAGCTGAGCTCATTTGGAAGCTTCATTTAATTCTTGGAGGTCGCCTACAAACACTTAATGCATTACTGGTCAAGGAGAAGGAGGGAGTTAATGTGGCCCTGGCAAGTCTAGGATATAATGCAGTAATGTCGTTCATTATGCTGTTTCTCAACTAATATATCTGTGAATGTCATTGCAGCCTTGGATGGGTGCTCATGTTCATGGTTAGCTTAACAACTGCCTTCCCCCAAATCTGCTCATATCCTTGAAATCTCCATTTTTATAACATCTTCCTAGTTATGTCACCTTGAAACCTGGAAATCCATCTTCGGTAACATTATTCATCTCCCCACATAACATTTGATGATCAATCAATCATCAAAGAATATTAATTGAGGGCCTTCTGTGTTAGGTTGTGTGCTAGATGCTTTCTACCAATATTTCATGACTAGCATGTAAAGTTAAAATTATTAACCCCAGAAAACTGAGACTTCAGCGAAAAAAATATTCAAAAACACAGCTGGTAAGAGATGGACCCTGCTTTACCCACTATGTTTAAGTGTAAAACTTACCCTCTTTCTTTGTTCAACTCTGAAATGCTATTCCCAGTCTCTAATACATGTGCCAGCTACTTTAATAATCTCATTGTTGTAGATTTCATTGCTATTAATCCTTTCATCTTTAGTATTGCAAGAATGTCCTCTCCCTAGGTATATCCATGGAATCTTAACTTATGTGGTCACTAAAAGAAAGATATATAAGCATATTTATTGGCATGTTCATGATGGAAAAAGTGAACAAAGAGGTCTTCAAAACAGTGTTTATGGCATGTGATATCACATTATCTGTATTGCATACCAGTGAATATGTCCAGATGGCTGGATTTTGGCCTGCATTGTTTTTTTTTTCTTTAGCCATTACATTTTTTTTCTAAATTTTTATAAAGGGTATGTTTATGTGATTTGTATAACTAATTAAGAAAAATAGTGCCCTCCCCTTTTTTTAGTCACGTGGGTCGCCAACCAATCCCTCCATCAGTTTCCTATTAAATCCAACTTTATGAGGCCCAGCTGAAAACTGTTAATGCACTTCTCAAAAAACATCAGAGGAACCCTTTTGCCAGCTGAATAAATTTCACTCCTCCCTTTGTAGCAAGCCTCTCAGAATTAAGCTCAGCCTCTTTCCAATTAGTCGGCTTTACACTGTATTTTAGGCACATTGAACTTCTTGATGTTCTTCGTAAGCTCAGAAGCTTCCTTGATTCTGTGCCTTTGCCCACACACTTTTCTCCCTCTAGAATCCCTTCCCCAGTAGGAAAGCCCAGATTTTATCCTGCTTGAAACCTGATGCCCAGGAGCAAAGCCAGTGACTATACTGCCGGCTGTGAGGAACATTTATCTTACTCTAAACACTAAGGTTGAACTCTCACATACAGAAATTTATACCTCGATTATAATTATAACATACCTACTCTCCTCTAAGACAGTGCTTCTGAAACTACTGTGAAAGATCACTATTTTTAAATTTAATTCATTTGTTTTTACATGTGACCCTTGAACAGCACAGGGTTAGGGGCGCCAACCACCCTGCACAGTTGAAAATTCGTATATAACTTCTGACTTCCCAGAAACTTATCTACTAATAGCCTCCTGTTGACTGGAAGCCTTTCTGATAACCTAAACAGTTGACTGATATATATTTTATGTATTATACCTGTTATATACTGTATTCTTCTAAAATGATTTAGAATTTAAGAACCACAATAAGCAAGCAAAGGGAAAAATTAAGAGAGAGAGACACACACACAAGACAAGAAATGGACTCTTAACTATAGAGAACAAACTGATGGTTACCAGAGGGGAGGGCATTAAGGGATGGGTTAAACAGGTGATGGGGATTAAGAACTGCACTTATGATGAGTGCAGGGTGATGTATGGAACTGTTGAATTACTATACTGTACACCTGAAAATAATATTACAGTGTATGGGGCGCCTGGATGGCTCAGTTGGTTGAGCGACTGCCTTCGGCTCAGGTCATGATCCTGGAGTCCCTGGATCGAGTCCCGCATCGGGCTCCCTGCTCAGTGGGGGGCCTGCTTCTCCCTCTCCCACTCCCCCCTGCTTGTGTTCCCTCTCTCGCTGTGTCTCTCTCTGTCAAATAAATAAATAAAATCTTTAAAAAAATATATTACAGTGTATGTTACCAATCTGGAATTAAAAACTTATATCAAAAAATTAAAAATAAGGGCGCCTGGGTGGCTCAGTTGGTTAAGCGACTGCCTTTGGCTCAGGTCATGATCCTGGAGTCCCTGGATCGAGTCCCGCATCAGGCTCCCCACTCAGCAGGGAGTCTGCTTCTCCCTCTGACCCTCCTCCCTCTCATGCTCTCTCTCTCTCATTCTCTCTCTCAAATAAATAAAATCTTAAAAAAAATAAAAAATAAAAAATGGGAATGGGGAAAATAGAGAAAAGAAAATGTTCTTAAGAAAATCAGAAGGAAGAGAAATACACTTACTGTACTATAGTGTATAAAAATCTGCATATAAATGGGCCCACATAATTCAGATCCATGTTGTTCAGTGTTCTTTCCATTTTGGCATGAATCAATACTTTTGAAAAATACAATAAAAGTAAATAACTGAAAAAAAGATAACTAGATATTCAAATACAACAAAATTTCATCTTACTGCAATCAAGAGTTCTAAA